AATACCTGCACCCAGATTCCCTGATTGTTCTATGTACTAATCTCATCTGAGCCAAGAACCATAGCCTTACTCACTGATGTTACCAATATGGCAAATGTACTTGTTTAACTGATGTTTAGAGGCATACTGCTGGCATGGAAATGGGAAATACTAAGGGGAATGGCAATTTGAAACTGGAAGGAAGAGACAAGGAGGGTATTGGGCATCTGCAAGCCAACCGAAATAGAGAGATCTTGAGAGAAAGCTGGCAATCACCATCAAACAATGGTTTTTAGCTTTTGGCTCTAAAACATTCATATTTTTCTGTGCCAGTGTTGGAGGTTAAACTCAGGTCCTGGGCACTGTTCCTGAGCTTTATATCCCCAAGACTAGCACTCTACCACTTAAGCCACAGCTCCACTTCTAGTTGTTTGGTGGTTAATTTGAGATAGAGTCTCATGGATTTTCTTGCCAGGGTTGGTTTTGAACCTTGATCCTCAGATCCCAGCCTCTTGAGGAGCTAGAATTACAGGCGTGAGCTGGCTGGTTCTCTCTCTGTCTCTGTCTCTGTCTCTGTCTCTCTCTCTCAGTGTAAACAGCATGTAGGGCTTTCTCTGAATGGTCAATAAAGTCCCATCAACTGGTTTTGGAAAACATTGCTTGCTATGAATGCCTGTCTGGTAATCGGCTCAGGCTCCTCTGGGAAGGAGCTCATGTACAGGGATGGTCTTTGGTAGCCATGCTGACACTGCCCCTACTATTCATGCCCCCTCTTCATGTTGTAGATGAGAATTGAATTCAGGGTGTCTGGAAAAGCTTTATTCTGACATGTAGCTATATAAGAGCCAGGAAAGCTGGTTTGTAGCCCAGAATAAAAGAGCAGAAATGAGTGCTTTTACTCCACCATTAGCAACTTATTAATGTTACTCCTGTCAGGAATCCTTGCAGTAAAATGCAAAACTTCTTAGCATTGCCCACCAGGGCTCAGCTTCCCTCTGATCTGACTGGTGTCACTTCCTGTAGAGGTCAGGCTACCCACACTCCTCTATGGGAGGAACAGGTGGCTTTTCTTGGTACTTCAGGGCTCTGGCTGTGGTCCCTACTGTTTCCTGTGCTCTAGATTTTTGCAAAGTCTGGGTTACCTCATTTGGGTGGCAACTGAAATCTTAAGAACATTTCTTTTTAAAGTATTTCTGTCTTTCTTCCTAAAATAAAGTCTTTCCCCCATTCTCTTGATCATTTTCCCTGGATTTCTTTGCTGTTATTCTACTTGGCAGATTTGTCTATTTGTTTGTGTTATCTGTCTTCTCATAAAAACAGCTTCAGGCCTGACTTGTTTGAGGCTATACGTTAAGTGCTTAGATGATTAATATTTATTACCTTTTAAATGAATAAGTGAATAAAAGAATAATCTTGGAGAATTAAATTACTCTTAAAGTAAGAATGTTAGTAGCACACTTTTCTTTTTCTTTTTTGCCAGTCCTGGGGCTTACTGTCCCTGAGCTTCTTTTGTTCAAGGCTAGTGCTCTACCACTTGAGCCACAGTGCCACTTCTGGCTTTTTCTGTTTATATGGTACTGAGTAATCAAATCCAAGGGCCACATTCTCAGCCCATAGAGAGATTTTTGGAGGTTTTCATAATTGGTTCATACTAGGGAATGCTAAATTCCTATTTTTTTCTTACACAAATAAAAAAATAATTAGCAGGGCACCAGTGGTTCACACTTATAATCCTAGATATTGGGGAACGAGACTGTAGTTCCAGGCCAGCTAAGGCAAAAAAAAAAATCTGAGAGATTCCACCTCAATGGGAGAACTGGGTGTGGTGATATAAGCCTGTCATGTAAGCCACGATAAAAGCCTAAACTACCAAGATCAAAGTCAGGGTGCATGCTTAGGCAAGAAAGGAGACCCTATTTCACAAAATAATCAACTCAGTAAAGGGCTGGAGATGTGGCTTAACGGGCCTACCTAACAAGTGTGAGGCCCTGAGTTCTAACCCTAGTATAGCCAAAAAATAAAAATAAGATAAATAAAAGAAAAATATAGAAAATGACTGCAACTAAACCGGAAGCAATTTGTTCAGAACACTTAACTCTAGAACACTTACCTTTAGATTATTGTTTAGAATAGAAACTCTGTTAGATAATGACCTTACTCTGTCCTCTGAAGGGCTATACATTTTTCCTTAGGAAAATGTGAGTCAACTTTTTTGTCCTAACATCTTTCCAACTTTATCTTTACCTTAACATTTCTTTCCTTCTTTAGGCTTTTTTTGGGGTTAATCTCCATTTTTTTTGGTGGATCTCTATGAATAATGTTATTACTCTTATGTACTTTGTGCTATTATTATTGTGCAATTCATGAAGTTGGTGGTAGAAGTGAATTTGTTTCTTTTTTTCCTTTTCTCTTCATTTTCATTTTTCTTTTTTTGGTCGGTCATGGGTCTTAAACTCTGGGCATGGGCGCTGCCCCTCAGCTCTTCAGCTGAAGGCTAGTACTCTACCACCTGAGCCATAGGGCCACTTCCGGTTTTCTGGTAGTTAAGTGGAGATTAGAGTCTCACGGACTTTCTTGCCTGGGCTGGCTTTGAACTGCAATTCTCAAATCTCAGCCTCTTTTTTTTGGGGGGGGGGGGGGTCGTGGGGCCTGAACTCTGGGCCTGGGCGCTGTCCCTTAGCTCTTCAGCTCAAGGCTAGAGCTCTACCACTTGAGCCACAGCACCACTTCCAGCTTTTTTCTTTTTGCTTTTGTGGTGCTGAGGAATCGAACTCAGGGCCTCTGGCATGCAAGGCATGTGCTCTACCACTAAGCCACCTTCCTAGCCCCAAATCTCAGCCTCTTGAGAAGCTAGGATTGTAAGTGTGAACCACCAATGCCCTGCTTATTTTCTTTTGTTTGTTGTTTGTTTGTTTGGTGACAGGGTGTGTCTGGCTATGTAGCTCAGGCTGGCCTCCAACCCCTGATCCTCCTGCTTCTGTCTTCCTCGTACTAGGATTACAGGTATGTACTACCACACCTGCTGAAGTTGCTTAATTTCAAATAGCCTGTTTTAGAATATCATTGGGGATGGCAAGAAGAAACAGGATAGTAAGACAGCTAATGGTAATTATTTTAGGGTGGTCCCTAGGTGAGGTTTGTTCCATACTCTTTTTTACTTTTTATTTTTAATTCCCTTTTTTCTTTTAACCTATAATAATTGTACAAAGGGGTTTTGTTGTGATATTTCCTTACAGCTTTATCCTCTTAAACTGGTCAGGATGACACCAGACCTGACTGAAGTTGTCTGACAGCTCAGGTGACTTCAACTCAGGGTTACTGATCCTTATCTCAGTCCTTTTACCTCTCTCAGCTTTTAATTGTTCAAAGTCTACGTCACATCACATCATCCGAAATTCTTCTGACAGGGAGTTTTCCTATAGTAATTCTATTTACACAGAGTGCTATCTGCATTCTGCGCTGTATAAACAGTAGTTAGGAAGAATGTGGGTTCCTTTGTTGTGTGTGGAGTTCTTTATGAGAGCAAAAGGAGTTGGTACCAGTACATACATACACATATGTATGTACCTACCTATACTATATATATACTATATCTATATAGTATATAGATATATACGATATCTATATAGATATAGTATGGGGTATATACTATATCGATATAGTATATAGATATACTATATATATATACACATATATATGTATATATATATACTATATATATATACACACACACAATTTGCCTTCCCACACTCCACTTGCTTGCTCAGGAGGTGGTGTTTTCTACTATTTGAAGAGCTGCGGACCAGTTTGCTTTTTGCTATTTACTTTGCAGATGAAGACTCCATGATTTTTCTGTCCAAGCTGGCTTAGAACCATGATCCTCAGGCTATTAGCTTCCTAAGATTAGAGTAGGGGCTGGGAATGTGGCTTAGTGGTAGAGTGCTTACCTAGCATGCACGAAGTCTTGAGTTTGGATTCCTCAGTATCACATAAACAGAAGAAGCCAGAAGTGGTGCTATGGCTCAAGTGGTAGAGTGACAGCCTTGAGGACAGAGTCCAGGCCCTGAGTTCAAGATCCAGGACCCGCCAAAAAAAAAAAAAATCTTTCCTTTCTAATTATTAAAGTAATACATACTCTACATACTAAACGCAGGCTAGCAATGAATCACCTATAAATCCCAGCAAACTTTAAAATATTTTATGCCTTTTCTTCAAGTAAGATAATATCCTTCTGATTTTTTTTTTTTTTTTTTTTTTTGTGCTGGTACTGGGGCTTGATCTCAGGGACTGGGCACTGTCCCTTTAGCTTTATCGACTCAAAGCTGGCACTCTACCACTTGAGCCAGATTCACTTCTGGCTTTTTGGTGGTTAATTGGAGGTAAGAGCTTCACAGACTTTTCTGCCCGGGCTTGGCTTCGAACCATGATCATCAGATCTCAACTTTCTGAGTAGCTAGGATTACAGGCGTGAGCCACCGGTTCCCGCTCTTCAGACTCTTATTCAGCGTACTGAATAAGACCTCTGTAAATACTACCAGACCTCTGTAAATCCACGCGATGTTAACGCTTGGATGCTATTCACTAACTTCGCACGAAAATCGATGGATTTCATGGAAAAGGGAAAGATCTTAACCTGCAAAGGTTCCGGGATTCGCCTCAGAGACATTGTTTGCTCTCCAAACACCGTTCTGCAACCACCTGGGAGTGAGAAACCAAGGGCAAGCAACCTGGGCGGGTAGAAGGAGGAGCTACAGCATCTTCACCAATCAGAACTCTGCTTTGTTTTCTCTCGCTGGCCAATAAGAGTGTTTTTTAAAGAGGCCGACTTCAAGTCTGAGTCGCCTATTCCTTTTATAGCCTATCAGCAGGCGCCTTTGACAAAGCATCTTCAGAGGCCACGCCCAGTGAGCGGTGCCGCCCCTCTCACCGCCCCTCCGCGCGTGGCCCCGCCCCCTCACTCGTGTCCCCGCCCCTCCGAGGGAGGGGGGCCGAGTCGGTTACTCGCTGGGCCGGAGGTGGGGGCCAGGCTCCCCCTGGGCTCGTGCGTTCTGCGCCCGCCGCGGCGTTTCCGACCGCCGCTCTCCTGATTGTCCTTCGCGGCGGTCGCCGTCGCTGCCTCCTCGCCGCGGGGATCGAGTGGTGGGAGGCCCCGACCCGCCGCGCTGGCGGCGGACCCTGACTGCTCAGAACAGGTAACGAGGCGCCGGGGACTGCAGCGCCTTCCCGAGGTCCGGGATCGGTGCGCGTGGCGCGGTTGGCTCCCTGCGCCGCTCCCGCCGCGGGCGCGCGGGCCGAGGCCGGGGTCAGCGGAGCCTCCCGCCCCGGAGCGGCGGCGGCGGCGGCGGCACCTTGCGGGGTGGTGGGGGCGGGGCCGGGCTCGGAGTGAGGGGCGCGGGGCGCGGAGGGGGAGGTGGGGGGGACGCGGGGAGGAGGTCGCGGGGGGGGGGGGTGGTGCGCGGTACCCGGGGGGACCCGGCCCGGCCCCGCGGGGAGGCCGGGCGCACGGCGCGCGGGGCAGGCTCGCCGGTGGAGTCCCGGGCCCCCGGGGAGAGGGACCGTCACCCAGTCCCGGTAAGGTGCTTTTTGGAACAAAAAAATTCCCGGCGCCTCGGTGAGGGGAGCGCCCCCTCCCCCCCCCCCCCCCCCCCCCCCCCCGCCCGGGGCTGCAGCGCCGCGCGCGCGTCTGGTTTGGAGCCCGGAGCCTGCCCGGCAGTGCCGCGGGTGCAGGTGGACGCTGTTTACTGATCCTCAGCGTGAAGCTGTTGGGGGGCCTTTTCTGAAGCGACCAGCAGACCCACCGTGTGCCTCACCCGTGTCTGCGCCCGAGTGGGGAGGGAGCGCGCGGGGGGGGGGGGGAGTGTCGTGCCCGATGGATGCCTGTGCTGGTCTCAGGGACTGTGGCTGGGACCTCTTAGCTGTCCCTCGGCCAGGGGTGGGGGTGGAACTGTGATCCGTCCCCCTCCCTCTTTCGGATCCCCCCTCCATAAAAAAAAAAGCTTCTCTCAAAGCCACGTCTGGCTTTAGGGATGCACCTGCTCCCCTTGGCGGGTAACTCTGTGCAGAACCTTAGAGGATTCAGTACACGGTTGATTGCTGAAAAGAAGGACATTTGACAGCAGTCTGTGGCTTACTCCCCTAATCCTCATCCTGGGTACTCTAGAGGCTGAGATCTGAGGATTAAAGTCGCGGGCTAGCCTGGGCTGGAAAAGTCCTCCGGGAAGAGTCTTATCTTTAAGAAACCTGCAGCCGCCGTAGCAACAACAGAAACCCACAGAAACAAACCAGAAGTGGAACTGTGGCTCCTGTTGGAGTGACTTTGAAAAAGCCCAGGCTTCGAGTTTCAGCCCCAGTACAACTCTTCTTCCTCCTCCCCCCTTTCCCCACCCTTCACGAAGTACTTTTGCTTTGACCTGTTCAAGTATCATTTATTCACAAGGGAAATGATGAAGGCCATTAGTCAGTGATGACTTGAAATCTCCTTGTCCAGGTGCACTCGGGTTCTAGGTTATAGTATTTCTGTTTAGGTCTGTTCATTGTGAAAACTCAGCACTCTTCCAGTTTTAGCCTTGAATCTCCCTGCTGTCCTGACCAGGCCGTGCACGGCTTGCCCAGTGATTTAATCTAAGATCTAGGCAAATTCCCACTATCAAGGCAGCTTCTGCATGCTCATTTATCACAATACAGGAGTTAGAGATAGAGGTGGTTATTTTCAAGTAAAGAAATATTGTGTCCTAAGTCTCATTTTCCTCCTAAATTGTTAAGGTAGTTTGTATTTCACCAGAAAGATGATTTTCCGCTTAGGCAAACAAAAAATAAAACTTGGTGGTTTTCTGTGAGACTATTTCAAATAGCAGGACAGAATTGGAGCTGTGGCACAAGTGGTAGAGCACCAGGCTTGAGAAGTCAAAAATGAGAGTGAGTGGTTCTGAGTTCAAGCCCCTGTACTGGCACAAAAATAAATAAATTGAGGGAAGGGGACTTTTCAAATCAGAGAACTTCATTTATGTGTGCATTTCTAGCCTAGCAATGGATCTCAGTGGTGTTTTGTGAATTGAGTTGAAATAATATGCATAAGGAAAACAAAATATGGTGCATTTTGGTTATGACTTAAGACTTGACAGAAAATCTTCATTGTAAGTTTATAGAAGGCCTAAACATGTAGCAATCATTTTGTAATTTGAATAGCACAAGGGATTTTAGTGGTGGATATGGAGCAGGCACATATTGAGTTTTTGAGGGTTACCTCTTGAATGATGTCAAGGTTTAGAGAAGTGTAGAGAATTGCTAGGTTTTTGTTAGGGCTATTATGTATGGGAACATAGAAATGAATTTCTGGGGGCTGGGAAGGTGGCTCAGTGGTAGAGTGCTTGCCTTGCATGCATGAGGCCCTGGGTTCGATTCCTCAGCACCACATAAGCAAAAAGAAAAAAGCCGGAAGTGGCGCTGTGGCTCAAGTGGTAGAGCGCTAGCCTTGAGCTGAAGAGCTGAGGGACAGCGCCCAGGCCAGAGTTCAGGCCCCACGACTGGACCCCCCCCAAAAAAAAAAATAAAAAAAAGAAATGAATTTCTGCATGGATTGCTCTTTATCATGATGCAATACTTTGTTTTGTGGTAACTACATCTTAGCATGTTGCAGGTACATTTTGACATTACTTGCATAATATACAAGGAATTCCTTACGCGAGACTTCTTAGTCTAGCCCTGTTCTTTCTTCTTACCTTTACTTAATTTTACTTTGCAGTCAATTGGAATTTTTAACAATTCAAGCAAAAATTTCCATAACAAAACCTATATCATCTGTTAATTTGTTCTGAGAAAGGAATCTTCTGTTGAGCACCAGCCTTTCTGCCCTGTGGGAAAATTGATAAGAGATTTTGGCTGTTGAGTGTTTGCTTGTGTTCTAAGACTTATTCCCAATCCTCCAGGCTACTCCAGATTTCTGCATTTTATATTTCTTTTTGTAAAATTAATTAGGCCATGACTTCCACTAGTGGTGCACCCAATATTACTTGCTGGGGATTTCAATATATATATACATATATATATATATTTTTTTTTTTTTGGGGAGGGGGTCCAGTCATGGGGCCTGAACTCTGGGCCTGGGCGCTGTCCCTCAGCTCTTCAGCTCAAGGCTAGTGCTCTACCACTTGAGCCACAGTGCCACTTCGGGCTTTTTTCTTTTTGCTTATGTGGTGCTGAGGAATCGAAGCCAGGGCCTCTGGCATGCAAGGCATGCGCTCTACCACTGAGCCACCTTCCCAGCCCTACTTGCTGGGGATTTCAAACACATCATTTCACAAACAGTTATCATTACTGTTACTAGTCACATGTCAAATGTACTGCAGCTTCATCTGCCATAGCAGTAAATGGCTTAAGTGGGTTTTATTAAATGAGATTATTTGGAAGGACAGGCTGGCTGGAACGGAAAGTAATTGCTAGTAATTAAAAAAAACAACAACAAACCTTCAACATAAAACTTTCTGGTTCTCTTTGTGGTCAAGAACCCAGACCAGAGTGTAGCTTTTATTGATCCTTATTTATGTAAGTTTGAACTTAGTTTCTTAATGGTTTGTGCTTTATTTAAATCTTATATGATCTGGGACTGAGCTATTTGAGCGTATTGTGCTTTGCTCACTTAGATTACCGGTTCTTTAAAAGTGTTATATGTAACAAGATAATTTGCTATCTCCTATAAGCAGATACTTAGGCTAAAAAAAAAAATCCCAGCATGTGAAAGTTTCTTTTGTTGAACACTCAAACTTTCTATGCTTTTAGGGTGATACTATCAAATCAGCTTGCTTTACCTAAGAAAGAGAGGGGAGTCTGCTCCTTCCTGGCCTAATAAGGGATCTTATTTTAGATTGTTGTTGATTGAATTGCTTTTTACTGATGGTTACTTAGAAAAGAGAGGTGAGAAAATTTAGCTGTTCTGATAACAGTAAGTCCCTTTGCAGGTACAGAAATGGCAGTGTTTGTGTAGGATAAAGACTTTGGGTGATAGGTTGAAGAAAGCGTTGGACTTTTACAATGCAAGATGGGAATGTAAGGAGAAAGTCTGTATGGGGTTGGTGTGTGTTTATTTCAGTTCTACTCAGCTGTGGCTGGGGAGGAGCGCAACATAATTTGTTTCTTGGAACCCTCTGCTTCTCCTGGGATTTGACGGTGATTTGGAGGGAGGGATGGTGGCTCTTGGCACGGTGCATGTTGCTGGTGCTTCTGGTCCTTGGGTGCCCATGGGCATTGAAAGGTGGGTGGTTATAAGTAGCCAGGCAGATTACATGCTACTCTGGTATGGATTCTCAGAGTTCTCTTGAACCTTTGAACTGTCTTAATCAGGCCAATGAACATATTTATAGCTCTCTTGTGGTCCAGACTTGGGTTAGGTAGTCTTTAGTGTGTATTTTGGAAATAAGTAGACAGCTAAGCTTTAAAACATTAGTAATTTGAATGTGCAAGTGAATAGCTTCAGAAAGTGACTTGGCTTATGATAGTTTCTCAGGGCACAGGTGCTTGAATATTCTTTTTTATACTATTTCTTTTTCTTTTCTTCTTTCTCTCTTTCTCTTTTTCTCTCTCTTTCTCTCTTTCTTTCTTTCTCTCTTTCTCTCTTTCTCTCTTCCTCCTTCCTTCCCTCCCTCCTTCCTTCCCTCCCTCCTTCCTTCCCTCCCTCCTTCCTTCCTCCCTCCTTCCTTCCCTCCCTCCTTCCTTCCCTCCCTCCCTCCCTCCCTCCCTTCTTCCTTCCTTCCTTCCTTCCTTCCTTCCTTCCTTCCTTCCTTCCTTCCTTCCTTCCTTCCTTCCTTCCTTCCTTCCTTTCTTTCTTTCTTTCTTTCTTTCTTTCTTTCTTTCTTTCTTTCTTTCTTTCTTTCTTTCTTTCTTCTGTCACTGGGGTATGATTTCAAGCCCTCATGCTATTCCTTGGCTTTGTTTACAAGACTGGCACTCATGCTTCTACTTCCAGCTGTTTGCTGATTAATTATTGGAGGTAAGGGTTTTGGGGATTTTTCCGCCTAGGCAGAGATCTCAAATCCTGAGACGCTAGGATTTCAGGCGTGAGCCATCAGCGTGGGCTCTATTCTGTTTCTTTTTTTTTTTTAATTTTAAAGCCTCAGTGGCAATAGGAAACCAGTGTATATATACTGTTCATATTGACGATTTGGGTTGAGAATAAGAGGCACTTGGGCTTGTTGTAGCT